GCATCTCCTCCTCTTTCCCTTGTGTCTTCCTTCACATGTTGTGTCAGGAAATTCCTGTCTATAACATCTACTAATTTTGCTCCCCACGTTTCGTCCCCTCCATGGGGATTCCTTGATTCCCAATTTATCTCTCCATGATTTAGGTCCCCCATGATCAGCAGCTTCGCTCTCATTCTGTGGGCTAGTGTTGCTGCCTGCTGCAGTTCATCTATACATGCTTTGTTGTTGTCATCATACTCCTGCCTGGGTCTTCTACTGTTTGGTGGGGGATTGTAGATTACCAAGATCACAATCTTCCTCCCATCTACTGTCAGAGTTCCATGTATGAAGCTTGTACACTCATTGGTAACTCGATTTCCCAGGTCTTCAAACTTCCATTTCCGCTTTATTAGGAGTGCTACTCCCCCTCCCTGTCTCTGTGTCCTCTCTTTTCGTATCACCTGGTACCCTTCAGGAAAGATTGCATCTGAGATCATGTCATTAATTTTAGTTTCCACAATTGCAACTATGTCAGGATCTGCTTCACTCACTCTTTCTTTTATCTCTTCTGCTTTATTAGATACCCCATCAGCATTGGTGTACCAAACCTTGAGATTCTTCATGGAAACTCTTGTACCAGAGTTCTCCCTTTCTCTGGGGGTCTGGGGGGATCTGGGGGATGTCTGGGGGTGACTGGGGGCAGAGGGGATCTGGGGGATCTGGGGGGTGTCTGGGGGATGACTGGGGGCGGGGAGGGTCCGGGGATGACTGGGGGCGGGGAGGGTCCGGGGGATGTCCGGGGGGATCCGGGGGGGTGTCTGGGGGGGTCCGGGGGGTGTATGGGGGGTGAAAGAGTTCAGGAGGGGTGCTTGGGGGGCTACTGGGGGGCTGGGCTTCTAGGAAGGTAGGTAGGAGGGTCTGGGGTAGGGCCTGGGTAGGTAGGTCTGGAGTAGGAAGGGCATACTGGGTCTGAAGATTAGGGAGGGCATAGAGGGGGTTGGGAGATAGCGTAAGGTTGGGAGACAGATAGAGGTTGAGAGGTTGGGAGGGGGAAGGATAGAGGGGGTGGGGGGGACCTCCCACCTCCCTCGCAAGGGTGGGGGGTCACATGGAAGGAGAGGGGATGAGGAGGGGTGAGGGTTGGGTAGGCTTTGGGTGTTGAGGGGATGAGGTCTGGGTGGGTTCTTGGGGTTGAGGGGATGAGGTCTGGATGGGTTTTGGGGGTTGAGGGGATGAGAGCTGGGTGGGTGTTGGGGGTTGAGGGGATGAGGGCTGGACGGGTTTTGGGGGTTGAGGTGATGAGGGGGTCCTTGGAATGTGGGATGAATTTGACTCCAGTGGGGTCAGAGGGGTCAAGGGATGTGCTGGGGAGATAAGCAGGGGCGGCTGATTTGGGGAAGGGGTGACCTGAGAAGCACGTGTGAGCTGGTTAGCATGGGGTGGATTAGCACTGGGGTGTGTAGCTGCGCTCAAATGGGAAGAGTCGTATTGTTGTTTGCTTGCTCTGTGGGCAATCTGTGTGTGTGTGTGTGTGTGTGTTTTCTGGGGCTCTAAAGGTGATAAATATGAAGCGTGTTCGGGCCAGAGTATACACCTATAATTACTCCTGGTTGATAATGTTATAACAGGTGAACAAACTCAGTGTTAATAAATAGCATTTTTTTCTTCTCCCAAATGCCGTTGTTATGATAGAAACTTCACCAGCTGGAGGCTACCGTCAACTTCTGGCTTATCTGGTAGGTCTGGTGAGTGGTGTAGCCTCTCTCGTAGGTCTGGTGAGTAGTGTAGCCCCCTCTCGTAGGTCTGGTGGGTGGTGTAGCCTCTCTCGTAGGTCTGGTGAGTAGTGTAGCCCCCTCTCGTAGGTCTGGTGGGTGGTGTAGCCTCTCTCGTAGGTCTGGTGGGTGGTGTAGCCCCCTCTCGTAGGTCTGGTGGGTGGTGTAGCCTCTCTCGTAGGTCTGGTGAGTGGTGTAGCCTCTCTCGTAGGTCTGGTGAGTGGTGTAGCCTCTCTCGTAGGTCTGGTGAGTGGTGTAGCCTCTCTCGTAGGTCTGGTGACTAGTGTAGCCTCTCTCGTAGGTCTGGTGAGTGGGGGTGATAACTGGACTCTGCTCTTAGAAGAGTGACGCGGCTCTAATGCCTAACCGTTCGCCCCTTGTTCACTCAGCAATAATAGGAGAAAAGGTTGTAAACTGATATTGTGGGTCGTGTTCCAGGGAAAATTAACTGGATAAGACATTCCATTTTAGCTATTATATGGGATGTTCACGGCCTGTTAACAGCAGCCGGAAGTCGTCTATTTCTAAACCGACCTGATAAAATAAATTTGCTAACCAGACCACACACTGGAAAGTGAAGGGACGACGACGTTTCGGTCCGTCCTGAACCATTCTCAAGTCGATTGTCAAGTCGGCGCTACAATCGACTTGAGAATGGTCCAGGACGGACCGAAATGTCGTCGTCCCTTCACTTTCTAGTGTGTGGTCTGGTCAACATATTTCAGCCACGTTATTATGACTCATTGTCAGCTGATAAAATAAAATTTAGAAAAAAAAGAGTAACAAAAGGAAATGAATATATGGTGATGTTTGGTGCGCCGTCGGGTTCCCCACCGCCCGGTACCCCTACCGGTGTGGCTACCGAGGGTCCTCTGTAGGGAGGAGTTTATTGTGCAACCTAACCATTGAAGTATACTTGGGTAAACCGGCTTTAGTGGCTGTGTGTGTGTGTGCGCGCGCGCTCTTCTCGCTACACGATTTCACCCGTCTCTCATCGTTCCACCTGTCTCTCATCGTTCCACCTGTCTCTCATCGTTCCACCTGTCTCTCATCGTTCCACCTGTCTCTCATCGTTCCACCTGTCTCTCATCGTTCCACCTGTCTCTCATCGTTCCACCTGTCTCTCATCGTTCCACCTGTCTCTCATCGTTCCACCTGTCTCTCATCGTTCCACCTGTCTCTCATCGTTCCACCTGTCTCTCATCGTTCCACCTGTCTCTTTGTTCCACTTGTATCGTCGCTCCAGTGCTGTACAGTATAGCATGCATGCGGTTGTGTCTTGGGATGCCTCTCCTAACATGTGTGTAATCGGCTATTAATTTAGAAAACGGGCTTGACGTCCACCCAGCATGGGCCAGGGGGCTGTGATTGGTGTGCTGTTATCTACGAGGATAGCGGTTCGGCCCCCCACCCTCATCATTCTGCAGGATGGACGAGGTTATCTTGGGACAGTGTCAAGATATATTCACACTACTTAAGAGACCTTAAATTAGTCTTAAGAGGGTGCCCTAGTTGACGCAACTAGCTCCCTTCATCTTGTATTATACAGTGAGTATAGTGATACATTGTTGCTACTTCCAATCAGTTTATTGAGGCGGGTGTATGTGATCTTGTCGAATGGCATCATTTATTAAAAGGCAATATTGACCGTCCCTGCGACAAAAGCATGTATTAAGAGGTCCCTTATAGACTTTTGGTCCATTTTAAACTGGATAGAGAGAAAAAGAGAGAGAGAGAGAGAGAGGAATTGAACTATCAGAGAAAAGCGCCAAACCATTACGACTATATAGCACTGGGAAGGGGTCAGGATTTGGGATGGGACGGGGGGAAAGGAATGGTGCCCAACCACTTGGACGGTCGGGGATTGAACGCCGATCTGCATGAAGCGAGACCGTCGCTCTACCGTCCAGCCCAAGTGGTTGGGCAGACAGAGAGAGAGAGAGAGAGAGAGAGAGAGAGACCATATCCAAAGATTCGGCACACATACCATCACGAATTAAACCAATGTTTGCCAAACATTAGTGAAACCACTGGACACGCGTGTGTACTGCGGCTAGACTGCTAACCTCAGCCTTGATCGACTCTACCCTTGAAGGCTCTGTATTGTGGTCCAGTAATTAAAGCACATGTGGTGCTTTAATTAATAGAAATATCATATCTCAGGACATTACAAATATTTTGATTACTGAATTATGAAACTATTTTGAAATAATTTCAACGAGACTGTGTGCATTTGATGAGACAATACGAAGTAACGTCAGTGACAGCTGTCAATCATCTGGTCCAGCTATAAAGGGGGGGGGTTCTCACCCCCCCTTGATAACAGAAAATTTTCAGAGCAGAAAATTCAACCCATTTGGGAAATGGTGCGGACAACAAATTACTATTCAATTATAAAACTGTATTTGATTAGAAAACTAATTTGATATCATGTAGCGCATTTTGAAGTAATTCCGTTATGTATTGCAAATAACCTTAAAGTAGAACGAGGGTAGATAGTGTGTAACGAGTAGTGTGCATATATGAACAGTGTTGGCGAGACCGTTGAACAGACGAAGAATGACAGAGATAAATAATAGGTTATAGCCGAGAACGATGGCGTTTAAGGCACTAGTTAAACAAAAAATATATAATTTGATATAACGCCCGGGCCAATGATGACGCAAAGGACTGCCAGGTGGCGTTGCCAGAGGCAGTTGAATGAGCGGACGGCACAAGACCAGCGGACCAGGCGCCCAGAACTTTGGCCAGAACTGGACCGGGTCGAAGTAAGGATGGAACACCATGGAGATTATCTTGGAGCGGAAATGCATTAAGGATCTTCGCCCCTCCGTCCTTGACTTTTGAGAAGATGGAACGTGAGCCACGGGTCATGAGCCACGGGGAAGTGTAGTGGTGAAGCGGAGATTTCTGCTTTTCAAATGAGAGCTGTTTCCATCACCATATATACACACCAGTCTGAAGCAGCAGCAGCAGCGCCACCACCACCACCACCACCAGTCCCACACCACCAGCGTCCAGCTCTACCACAATCACCCCCACAACTACCCATTTGTCCATCACTGTTTCGCTACCTACCTTTCCGTGGGGTGTATAATCTCCCGACACTTACCCTCCGCTAATGACAAAGCCTTTTCCCTAAGTTCCGAGCCGCTTGCGTATTAGAGTGCGCAAGTAGAGGTGACCCCCGAGGTGGGCTTCCTCAGCATGGCCTCCCAGACCACCAATAACATATCAATAAATCGCGATCTACGACGTCGGAGCACGGGTGGTTGCTGCCGCAAATGTCCCAGTTATGTGGTCTGCCTCTCCCGGCCTCTTGGTTACGCCAGCTGCTGCCTCTCCCGGCTTCTTGGTTACGCCAGCTGCTGCCTCTCCCGGCTTCTTGGTTACGCCAGCTGCTGCCTCTCCCGGCTTCTTGGTTACGCCAGCTGCTGCCTCTCCCGGCTTCTTGGTTACGCCAGCTGCTGCCTCTCCCGGCTTCTTGGTTACGCCAGCTGCTGCCTCTCCCGGCTTCTTGGTTACACCAGCTGCTGCCTCTCCCGGCTTCTTGGTTACACCAGCTGCTGCCTCTCCCGGCCTCTTGGTTACGCCAGCTGCTGCCTCTCCCGGCTTCTTGGTTACGCCAGCTGCTGCCTCTCCCGGCTTTTTGGTTACGCCAGCTGCTGCCTCTCCCGGCTTCTTGGTTACGCCAGCTGCTGCCTCTCCCGGCTTCTTGGTTACGCCAGCTGCTGCCTCTCCCGGCTTCTTGGTTACACCAGCTGCTGCCTCTCCCGGCTTCTTGGTTACACCAGCTGCTGCCTCTCCCGGCCTCTTGGTTACGCCAGCTGCTGCCTCTCCCGGCTTCTTGGTTACGCCAGCTGCTGCCTCTCCCGGCTTCTTGGTTACGCCAGCTGCTGCCTCTCCCGGCTTCTTGGTTACGCCAGCTGCTGCCTCTCCCGGCTTCTTGGTTACGCCAGCTGCTGCCTCTCCCGGCTTCTTGGTTACGCCAGCTGCTGCCTCTCCCGGCTTCTTGGTTACGCCAGCTGCTGCCTCTCCCGGCTTCTTGGTTACGCCAGCTGCTGCCTCTCCCGGCTTCTTGGTTACGCCAGCTGCTGCCTCTCCCGGCCTCTTGGTTACGCCAGCTGCTGCCTCTCCCGGCCTCTTGGTTACGCCAGCTGCTGCCTCTCCCGGCTTCTTGGTTACGCCAGCTGCTGCCTCTCCCGGCCTCTTGGTTACGCCAGCTGCTGCCTCTCCCGGCCTCTTGGTTACGCCAGCTGCTGCCTCTCCCGGCTTCTTGGTTACGCCAGCTGCTGCCTCTCCCGGCCTCTTGGTTACGCCAGCTGCTGCCTCTCCCGGCTTCTTGGTTACGCCAGCTGCTGCCTCTCCCGGCCTCTTGGTTACGCCAGCTGCTGCCTCTCCCGGCCTCTTGGTTACGCCAGCTGCTGCCTCTCCCGGCCTCTTGGTTACGCCAGCTGCTGCCTCTCCCGGCTTCTTGGTTACGCCAGCTGCTGCCTCTCCCGGCTTCTTGGTTACGCCAGCTGCTGCCTCTCCAAGCTGTGCGCTTTCTCTGGCGTCCGGGTATACATGTATTCTCTACAACTGACTTCATTTGTTGGGTTTGTGTGTAGATCCGATGGACCTGAGTATGCAGGGCGTGGAAGGGGACTCATGCAGGGGGTGGAAGGGGCAGTAGAGTGGATTCTATCTTGCGTCTGGAATAGAATCTTCACCCGTTAGGGATAAGAAGTTTTACAGCGGGTAAGGATCTTGAATGCTTACACATGTTTATTCATGGAAGTAAGTGAGCCTGTGTGTGTGTGTACTCATCTAGTGGTACCCATCTAGATGTACTCGGCTAGATGTACTTGCAGGTTCGAGCTAGGCTCCTGGCCCTGCCTTGTTATCGTTCTTAACTTAAAAACGAGAGCAAAGTGAGAGAATTTAGTCATATCAAAGGCATTACGGGCTCACCATAGCCCGTGCTACTTGGAACTTTTTGTTCCAGGTAGCGAATCTTTAACAACAACAACAACAACAACAGAGCAACAGAGCATTATCATATTTAGATTTAAAACTTTGAATCGAATTATCTTCAACGACTTCTACCGTCTAACCTATTCCACTAATTGGTAGTTCCAAGACTGAAAAAGTTCTCTATGACTCATTTTTGTTTTTAGTTTCTGTAACCTCTCAATCTGCTGTTCCAAATTTTAAACAAGGCTACTTTCTCTTCTTTGTCAATTTCCCCTACAATCTTGTATGTTGTTATCATGTCCCACCAACCTCTCCTTCCCCCTCCCCACCCCAGTGTGGTAACGTCCATTTCTCTCAATCTTTCCTCAGAACTCAATCCCTTTGACTTACAAATGAACCTCGTTGCATATTTTTGGACCTTTCCTAGTTTTTCCTTGTCATTTTTCCTTAGGTATAAAGACCAAGACTGGGATAGGACTTAGGAGAGGAATGGTGCCCAACCACTTGGACGGTCGGGGATTGAACGCTGACCTGCAAGAAGCGAGACCGTCGTTCTATATAATCAGATCCAAATGACTGGATTGCATCGCTTAAGGAGGGGGGGGGGTAACTTTAGAATTATATCTGGTGTTTTATATTGGCATTTTCCACTTGTGGCGGACCGCGCTTGTCTGGTGGAGTACCAGGAATGTGTGCTTTGTACTCCGTCAGTATCCCACCACGTAGGGGCCTGAGAATAGATCAACTCCCCACCACAATAAGTGGGAGAGGATTACAGCACAAGCATACCGAATAAGGGGGATTAGCGTTCAGAACAAGGGGGATTAACGTTCAAGACAAGGGGGATTAGCGTTCAGAACAAGGGAGATTAGCGTTCAGAACAAGGGAGGATTAGCGTGCAGACCAAGGGGGATTAACACAACGAATAAAGTGAATTACCTTAACAAACGAGGAAGGATTAATACACAATTAATTACTCCCTTACTTCTATTTACTTACTTCTACTCCCTTCTTCCTCGGGGAAGGTAGAAGGGAGTAGAAGAACTCCCAGAACCCTCTCCAGCTATGTTCTCCAAACATGCCGAATAAAAAGAGGAAAAGAGTACCGGACAAGATACTCTTGTACAAGAGTACAAGATATAATACTGTTCGTCAAGAGGAGAATACAAACACAGGAGCCACAAACACAGGAGCCACTCTTGACTAAAATAAATCAATCATTTGACATTAAATTCTGCCAAGACGGAGAACGCGTCCATTCTACACGAGAGATTGTCGGTACCGGCTTGATCGCAAATGGGTATGTGTGTGTGTTTACTAGTTGTGTTTACTAGTTGTGTTTTTGCGGGGGTTGAGCTTTGCTCTTTCGGCCCGCCTCTCAACTGTCAATCAACTGTTTACTAACTACTTTTTTTATTTTTATTTTTTTTTTCTCCACACCACACACACACACACACACACCAGGAAGCAGCCCGTGACAGCTGACTAACTCCCAGGTACCTATTTACTGCTAGGTAACAGGGGCACTTAGGGTGAAAGAAACTTTGCCCATTTGTTTCTGCCTCGTGCGGGAATCGAACCCGCGCCACATAATTACGAGTCCTGCGCGCTATCCACCAGGCTACGAGGCCCCTCCACCAGGCTACGAGGCCCCCTATGTGTGTGTGTGTGTGTGTGTGTGTGTGTGTGTGTGTGTGTGCTGTTTAAGTGTTCAGAGCCCGGGTAGAGCCGGCCGAATCATAGAGGGGGCCGACCCCCTTTACCCCCGACCAGCCTACGAATGTCCCCTACCCGCATCCAGTCATATTGCAAAGTTGCGAGGCTAGCCCCGAGCGTCTGTCCTCCACCCTCTCACAGGAATGTATGAGTATAGTTGTGAAGAATGAGAGGAATGTATAGGGAACAGTTGTGAAGAATGAGGGGAATGTATGGGGACAGTTGTGAAGAATGATGGGAATGTATGGGGACAGTTGTGAAGAATGAGGGGAATGTATGGGGACAGTTATGAAGAATGAGGGGAATGTATGGGGACAGTTGTGAAGAATGAGGGGAATGTATGGGGACAGTTGTGAAGAATGAGGGGGAATACATGACCAACTCGGCCAATATTGAAGTACAATGGGTGAGTATAACTGGGCATTTGTTTACAAGTAATTGGATAATAGTCAGCGAAAAATGGGCAACTAGGTTTTGCTAATGGTTTTGTTGTTGTTGTTAATGGGGATGATTATAGAGGAGTAGTAAATGTGTATTTATTCAAAGCTTGAAACTGATGTTTGTTTAACAGATGAATGGAGATAATTAGATAAGCAATTTAATGGACATTCTACTTTGCTAAGGCATATACCTAATTAATGACGGTAATTTAAAGATCCATGGAGTTCTCATTAACCATAGTAGAGTTGGAGTACACAAATACTAACTTGGCACGTTATCATGTGTTTTATCTGGTATAATTCCTGTTGTCGGGGACAGGATGCCTGCATACATAGGCTTACCAAGCTCCAGTGCCCCTAGGCCGGCTGCTGACCCTCCCCGGGAGGCAACCCCCACACAACAGTTGCTGCCCACCTCCTGGGTACCTATTTGACTACAAGATGAACATCGGGTGAAAGGAAACGTGCTTCAACCGTTTCTGTCTTGCCCTGGGATTGAACCCGGGTCCTTCGGTTGCAAACCCAGGACGTAGACCACTGTGGCGATGATATTTTTCAAGGACCTTCGAAGTCTGTGGCGAACTCGTTCGTCTGGAAACGTCACTGAATCAAGTCTCCAGGTTCATAATGTTGCTAGAGTGCTTTTGCGTACGCGTTGCAATTATTTTGCGTCATTGATTGTACAGGCGTTAACTCGCGTGCGTCATTGCGTATTTCTTGGAATTCCTTTCCACAGGAGTCTGTGGTGGAATTTGCTACCTGTCATTGCTTTGTGAATAGTGATGAGGCCATCACTCTTACTTATCCGGCGTTCACGGGAAATATATTGTCTCCCCCGCCCGACCTGTCGTGCCGGTGGGTCGCCTCCCGTGCCGGTGGGTCGCCTCCCGTGCCGGTGGGTCGCCTCCCGTGCCGGTGGGTCGCCTCCCGTGCCGGTGGGTCGCCTCCCGTGCCGGTGGGTCGCCTCCCGTGCCGGTGGGTCGCCTCCCGTGCCGGTGGGTCGTCTCCCGTGCCGGTGGGTCGCCTCCCGTGCCACGGGGTCGCCTCCCGTGCCACGGGGTCGCCTACCGTGCCACGGGGTCGCCTACCGTGCCGGTGGGTCGCCTCCCGTGCCGGTGGGTCGCCTCCCGTGCCGGTGGGTCGCCTCCCGTGCCACGGGGTGCGTGCGTGTGTGTTGCGTGGTCGTACGCTGTAACGCTTAAGGTAATTAGCGTTGCGGCAGGTAGGTATACGTGGAGTGAATGGTGTTGGCTACTGATGCGTCTCCTTCAGTGGTGTTTGTGGACCAGGTGACGGAGGGGTGGTGTTTGTGGACCAGGTGACGGAGGGGGTGGTGTTTGTGGACCAGGTGACGGAGGGGGTGGTGTTTGTGGACCAGGTGACGGAGGGGTGGTGTTTGTGGACCAGGTGACGGAGGGGGTGGTGTTTGTGGACCAGGTGACGGGGGGGGGGTGGTGTTTGTGGACCAGGTGACGGAGGGGGTGGTGTTTGTGGACCAGGTGACGGAGGGGGTGGTGTTTGTGGACCAGGTGACGGGGGGGGTGGTGTTTGTGGACCAGGTGACGGAGGGGGTGGTGTTTGTGGACCAGGTGACGGAGGGGGTGGTGTTTGTGGACCAGGTGACGGGGGGGGTGGTGTTTGTGGACCAGGTGACGGAGGGGGTGGTGTTTGTGGACCAGGTGACGGAGGGGGTGGTGTTTGTGGACCAGGTGACGGGGGGGGTGGTGTTTGTGGACCAGGTGACGGAGGGGGTGGTGTTTGTGGACCAGGTGATGGAGGGGGTGGTGTTTGTGGACCAGGTGACGGAGGGGGTGGTGTTTGTGGACCAGGTGACGGAGGGGTGGTGTTTGTGGACCAGGTGACGGAGGGGTGGTGTTTGTGGACCAGGTGACGGAGGGGTGGTGTTTGTGGACCAGGTGACGGGGTGGTGTTTGTGGCCAGGTGACGAGGGGTGTTTGTGGACCAGGTGACGGGGGCGGGGTTGTGGACCAGGTGACGGGGGGTGTTCGTGGACCAGGTGACGGGTGGTGTTTGTGGCCAGGTGACGGAGGGGTGTTTGTGGACCAGGTGACGGAGGGGTGGTGTTTGTGGACCAGGTGACGGGGGGTGTTTGTGGACCAGGTGACGGGTGGTGTTTGTGGACCAGGTGACGGGGGGGGGTTGTGGACCAGGTGACGGGGGGGGGGTTGTGGACCAGGTGACGGGGGGGGGTTGTGGACCAGGTGAAGGGGGGGGTTGTGGACCAGGTGAAGGGGGGGGTTGTGGACCAGGTGACGGGGGGGTTGTGGACCAGGTGACGGGGGGGTTGTGGACCAGGTGACGGGGGGGTTGTGGACCAGGTGACGGGGGGGTTGTGGACCAGGTGACGGGGGGGGGTTGTGGACCAGGTGAAGGGGGGGTTGTGGACCAGGTGACGGGGGGGGTTGTGGACCAGGTGAAGGGGGGGGGGTGTGGACCAGGTGACGGGGGGGGGTGTTTGTGGTTAGGTGACGGGGGGGGGGTGTTTGTGAACCAGGCGACGGGGGGGGGGGTTGTGGACCAGGTGACGGGGGGGGGGTTGTGGACCAGGTGACGGGGGGGGTGTTTGTGGACCAGGTGACGGGGGGGGGTGTTTGTGGACCAGGTGACGGGGGGGGTGTTTGTGGACCAGGTGACGGGGGGGGTGTTTGTGGACCAGGTGACGGGGGGGGGGGACCAGGTGACGGGGGGGGGGGGTGTTTGTGGACCAGGTGACGGGGGGGTTGTGGACCAGGTGACGGAGGGGGGGGTTGTGGACCAGGTGACGGGGGGGGTTGTGGACCAGGTGAAGGGGGGGTTGTGGACCAGGTGACGGGGGGGGGGTTGTGGACCAGGTGAAGGGGGGGGTTGTGGACCAGGTGATGGGGGGGGGTTGTGGACCAGGTGACGGGGGGGGGTTGTGGACCAGGTGAAGGGCGGGGGTTATGGACCAGGTGACGGGGGGGGTGGTTGTGTACCAGGTGACTGGGGGGGTTGTGGACCAGGTGACGGGGGGGGGGTTGTGGACCAGGTGAAGGGCGGGGGTTGTGGACCAGGTGACGGGGGGGGGGTTGTGGACCAGGTGACTGGGGGGGGGTTGTGGACCAGGTGACGGGGGGGGGGGTTGTGGACCAGGTGAAGGGGGGGTTGTGGACCAGGTGACGAGGGGGGGGTTGTGGACCAGGTGACGGGGGGGGGGGGTTGTGGACCAGGTGACGGGGGGGGTTGTGGACCAGGTGAAGGGGGGGTTGTGGACCAGGTGACGGGGGGGGTTGTGGACCAGGTGAAGGGGGGGGGTTGTGGACCAGGTGACTGGGGGGGGGGTTGTGGACCAGGTGACTGGGGGGGGGTTGTTGTGGACCAGGTGACGGGGGGGGGGGGTTGTGGACCAGGTGAAGGGGGGGTTGTGGACCAGGTGACGGGGGGGGGGGGTTGTGGACCAGGTGACGGGGGGGGTTGTAGACCAGGTGACGGGGGGGGTTGTGGACCAGGTGAAGGGGGGGGGTTGTGGACCAGGTGACGGGGGGGGTGTTTGTGGTTAGGTGACGGGGGGGGGTGTTTGTGAACCAGGCGACCGGGGGGGGGGTTGTGGACCAGGTGACGGGGGGGGGTTGTTGACCAGGTGACGGGGGGGGGGGGGTTGTGGACCAGGTGACGGGGGGGGAGTGTTTGTGGACCAGGTGACGGGGGGGGGGGTGTTTGTGGACCAGGTGACGGGGGGGGGTGTTTGTGGACCAGGTGACGGGGGGGGGTGGACCAGGTGACGGGGGGGGTGTTTGTGGACCAGGTGACGGGGGGGTTGCGGACCAGGTGACGGGGGGGGGGGGTTGTGGACCAGGTGACGGGGGGGTTGTGGACCAGGTGAAGGGGGGGTTGTGGACCAGGTGACGGGGGGGGGGTTGTGGACCAGGTGAGGGGGGGGGTTGT